GAACGCACATACACACAGAGGGAGAAAAGAACAACATAGAGGAGGCACAAGGAGGACAGAAACGGAGTATTTAAATTTATAGAAGTGTAAAAAAAACTACTAAACAAAAATAGTATGAAATATACGAATATTATAAGTTTAATAAATGTTGTATTTTGCGAAATGATGACCCACAGAAACGATGTAACAAGGACCACGAGTTAAAAGCTTAGCTTCTTTTATGATTTTTATATATATTTTATACTTTTACCGACATGCCGACAAGCTAGACTAGCTCGAAGACACAGTAAACACAATGGGAACTGATTTTCTGTTTAAAGCAGCAATATTTATTTATTTTATTTACAAGAAAATACATTTTTGTTTCCTTTCAACACAAAAGTGACTTCAGCAAAAGATTTGAAAACGGATGTGACGACATGCCTCCTCTAAATCTAAGTCTGAATTTCTAATTCATGCACAATGGGATGTCAGTAGAGAAAAGCTAAGCTAACGTTACAGCGGTTTGTAGTAGAAAATAGTTCAATGAGGGAATTTCTTCGATTGCAAAAAGTTAGTGTGTTTTCAGAGCGACCAGTAGTAGTCGCTGTCGTCTCCGTGCTCCAGGATGATCTCGTCAATATCTCAACAACTCGCAGTCTTTCATAAATATTGATTTGAATGCCTCAGACCACTGGAATAACATCAGAGAACATAAATAAAATAAAATAAAATAAAAAATAATCATTCCAGTTCACACAACTCACGTCCAGTAAACCCACTTTAAACTAAGAAAAGATAAATGGAATAAAAAAATGAAACTACATTAAATCTGTCAAATGTCATTAAAAACAAACCTGTGTCCAGACTTCCTGTATTTACGGATTATTTTTAAAACAAACATGACCTCTGGATCTCATTTCCCTCATGACAACGGTACATACTGTCACGTGGGATCTCATTTCTGTATACAGCACGGTCATACAGGAAGTCTGACCCTAGTGGTTAGGTACAGTAACTACACTCAAATAGTGAGTGGAAAATAAAGGATGAGGTGCCTTGTCAATTATATAAAATATATATATATATAAAAAAGAGTCCCAACAACTGCTCCTGTGTTTGTTTTGTTTTGTAAATTAAAGAAATTTGCATTATACAAAGTAATATATACTTTCAACTTTGAAACGCTGAAAGTAGAAGTTTAGAAAATGCCAGAAGGAGTTGCACTGTTTTGTGAAATTAAAAAAAAAAAAAAACTCTGAATGGGTGGAATAGTGAGGTAAAGTGAGATGTGTAGGCAGAGTGACAGATGGGTTCAGGAAGTAACAAAGTAGGTTAACTTGGGGGTCATGTATTATCAGGAGGGACGTATCGTGTTAGGTAACTTTACAAGGTGACTTAATATGACCACAGGATTAAGCACAGGGTGCTCCAATCGATGGAGTGGGGCCACAAACCTACAGGGTTTTCTTACAAAACATTTTTGTAAAACACAAAATTGTGCTTTGGAGAAAATATACTCACCCATGGGTGAGTACATACCTAGTTAAAGGTACTAAAGCAGCTCATCCTTTATTCTCCACATCATCTATTTCTACTTTATTTCAGTGACTCTGTGTCATTCAGCGGCCCACCTGCCCTCTTGTCAACAGAGTCCCACTGACTTCATTTCAGGGAAGAGTCTCAAAAAAAAAAAAAAAGAAAGAAATTCAGCATTACCCATGATGCTCTTGTGCATGTACCAATACAAAGCAAACTCTACAAGTTTTATCTTCCATCAATTATTGTTCATCTTAGTCACATTAGAGCCTAAAACAGCATTTGTCCTGCAGTAACATGGCCGCCACCGTGCAGCTCAAACCAGGACTGAATTCAAATTCAAATTCTTTTTCACAGTCTCAACATAAAAAACCAAACCAGAAGGGCACAGAAATCAGGGTGAAGAAAAAATTAGTGGCACTTAAAGATCGGGGTTTCAAATATAAACACAGCTGAGACAAAAAGAGCTGAGAGGGCGTGATCAGACTTAGACATGCAGAATATTACGGGATAACATACAGTACTTTAAAATACATGAGGCCCTGCACCATATGAGGCAGAGTAAAATTAACATATGCGTAACTATTCATTTAAATTATTTAGAAACACATTGTCTCACATGTTGTGGCCAATTGTCATTAGAAATACTTATTTCTTTGTGAAATTTGAGAGTCAGAACATTTAAATCACCTTTCACTAGGTGGCAGCAGTTGGCTATAAAGCTGCTAAATAATTTTTTTATTTAGCATTTTTTTTGAAGGTTTTCTGAAGGTGTTAAAGTTTGTCTTTGTTCTATTCCTGCAATTATATCAGCATCATGTTCAACCAAACAGGCCCAGGTTTTTATACTTATAAGTTAATAGTGAGTAAAATGAAAAGAAAATCATTATATTTTATTATAATTACCTTTTTTGGACGTTTTTGTTTGATGGTAAAATATTTCCTGTGGCTCAAAAACCTTACAGTGTTTTATGACAGTAGATAATTTTCGTTTTGTCTTATCTCACAGCTTTAGTGTCAAATATCTGCTTTAGTTACTGATTGATTTCCACTGAAGCGTTCTGAGGTTCAGTGTGTTTAAACCAAAGACCACGGTCCCTGCTGCGCTGTGATACGTGTCAGACACACGACTGTGTTGTGTGTCAACAGAGATTGAGGGGCAGCTCCAGCAGGTGGCCAGTGTGTACACCTTATCTGACGGTCACGCCGTCTGACGGGCTACGTGCTCACTTTGCTTCCAGCAGCAGCAGCGTGCAGCAGACTTCACCGCCTGCTCTGGGCCCCACGGGCCTCTCCAGCTGATTGTGTCTGTTCAGTAAACCAGAGAGGCCACGGTTTTGGACTCAGGTCTACATCACCTCTGATGGTGTCAGCAGTTCCACAGGATTCAGGACTCCAGTCACCTCACAAGAGCTAAAGTGAGGTACGAGGATAAGGATTGTACTTCAGCTTTTAAAGTATAATGTACACAAACCAATCAAAGGTGTATTGTGGTATTTGAAAAAAAATAAATAAAAAAAAGTTAATATCAGATTAATGGTTATGTAGGTAGAAACCGATGTACCGAGAAGTTCAAATACTGCTCTGGACATGAATCAGAGTCAGAGTTCCTACAGTGAAGCGTACGCAGCTAAAAGAGTTCCAGCAACTGATACTCACAAATGAACAGAGTAGCCTTCTACGAGCAGAGTAAAGTGCCGTAAAACAAATTAACAGATCGGTCAAGCCGCGTCCATCGGCTGTGACGAAGTTAAAGAAAGGGTTAAAACCAAACCTGTACACGTGAGTGTTGGTCACATTAGGAGGGAAACGGGATTTTCCTTCACTCGCTGCTTCTGTTCCCAAAGTGGAGCAGGATGTAGAAAAGATGAGGAAGAGGAGAGAAAGAAAAGGCTACAGGGCTTGTTGGCACCAGAGGGTGTAAAAGGGGGAGGGGGTGAGGAGGGGTGAGGAGGGGATGGGGAGCAGCCCTGACAAAAAAAAAAACCTGCTCACAAACACCCTCCAGATTTCTTTTCCTTTCATTCCTCCGACCCTCTCATCTCCTCCTCCCCCCTCTCTCTGCC